TAATACAATAGGAGAAAACAAATGGAGAGTTTCGCGGTTAACTACAGCAATGGCGGCAAATTAAAGCGAGCTAAAGTCAATTAATATCTTTCCTGTTCAGGGGCACCCAACGAGGATATACTTCAAAACCACTTAACATAGCATTGTTGAACGTATTTTAGTATTTAAACGGTAGATATAGGCATATTTTTATCCCCTAAAAACTTTTCATCTGTTCGGATTTCCTAGCTGAAAGTCTAGTGATCCGAAAATTATAGGGATAAAAACTTACCTTCTCGAAAATTTCAGCCAGAAAAAGGCTCCCGAAAATTCTAGGTGGCCTTTTTTAGGGTCAAAATCCGTTAAAAATGGGTAATTATACCATTTTGTAGATGTTAGAAAATCCTAGGAGAGGCAGGCAAGCAAGAAATTTTACAACAAATGCTCCGAAAATTCTAGATCTCAAATCGTCTTCCGAACAGATATTTTCCCGAAAACTGCCGTTGGGTGCCCCTGCCTGTTTAAGGGTGTAACGGCGGAGAAATCACAGAGCTAGATAAAACACGGCTAACCACAAAGCACAACTAAAGAAACGCGTGCCGTGGGAAAACGATCAACGGAACCGAAAAAATAATACCGAAAAGAAAATGCTTTGTGAGCTAATTATCGAGCTCGGTTACATCAGCATACGCCTTTCTCAGCTTCATGATAAAGATCTAGAACAGTTTACTCCCATTATACTCGGAGAACCTAACGAGAACATAGTTCAAAACCACTTAAGCGTAGCATTGTTAAACGTATTTTAGTACTTAAACGGTAGATATAGGCATATTTTTATCCCCTAAAATTTTTTCATCTGTTCGGATTTCCTAGCTGAAAGTCTAGTGATCCGAGAATTATAGGGATCAAAACTTGCCTTTTCGAAAATTTCAGCCAGAAAAAAAGGCTCCCGAAATTTCTAGGTTAACTTTTTTAGGGTAAAAATCCGTTAAAAATGGGCACTTATACCATTTTTTAGAAGTTCGAAAATTCTAGGAGAGGCAGGCAAGCAAGAAATTTTACAACAATTGTTCCGAAAATTCTAGATCTCAAATCGTCTTCCGAACAGATGTTTTCCAAAAATTGACGTTGGGTGCCCCTATTCAAACTTCCACTGACTCTGCTGACTGTACTCCTGCGGTGGTAGTATTTGAAGTTCCTTCAGTACTTGACGTCGATATTTGATGCAAGTTCACCGAGATTGACCTTAGACGCCTCATGCATGCACGACATGTTAAAATATTCTTAAAGGCTCTGCGGAAATTATCTAACCTCAACGCATACACAAAGGGATTCACTCCCGAATTTGTTAACATCAGAACAAACTGAATGTCTCTCACCCAGTGAATAAACACGCAATTACAATTGGCGCAAAAGTTTATGATGTAGATACAAATGCACGATGGCAAATAAAACGCTAAAAATAACATCAACACAATAACAAGCGTCTTTGTGATCTTTTTCTCCCACTTGATCGCTTGCTTCTTCGCCAGATTTTCTTCGGTGTTGTCGTGCAGGTTGTCCCATTGTTTAACTTGAGCTCGCAAGAACTTGAAAATTTTCGAGTTGGTGAAAAGCAACACAACGAACGTCACGACGACTGCAGTGTTGGCGAAGACGAACCGAAACTTGTCGTAGCCTACTGCGAAGTAAATCATGGATAATGAAACAGACACGGTCCAGACACCAGCAGAAACTAATAAACTTCGTTTTGCGTTGAGCTTCGATCTGTAAAATAGAGGATATGTAATAGCGACGTAACGATCTAACGCCAGGGCGGACAGGCTCAGAAGCGAAGCAGTGCAGGAAATGAAAAATGAAACATGCATCGTTTTTCTGAGGGGCTGATTAGGGATTCCAAAACCCTCGAAAAAATGATAAGCTTTACCGAGAGGAGCAGTTATGAGACCAACAACAAGATCTGCCAGACTCAGATTGACTACAAGGTAGTTGAACGGTGATCGCAGGTCCTTGTTGGGGTTCAGGAAAACGGCAAGAATCACAAGGAAGTTTCCCACGGAAGCAACTATCGTGATCAGTGTTGAACAGGAAGCAGTCAAGAAAGACAAATATGTCGGTGCTGTTACATTGCTACAGGGATATTTTCCAATGAGCGACATTTTCTAACCAGCGGAAGGCCTCGTACATGTAGCTTTGAATATGACAAATGTTGAATATTAAGCGAGCCTTGAACGCAGCACGTTTTAGAATACTTCCGGTCGAGGTATTTTTAGCCATCCTTCTTGACCTTTTATTAGTTAATGCTGTAGGATATTTGCTTCAATGAGCACATTCCCACCCTTCGATGTATCTTTATAATTTGTTTTTTTTTGTTTTTTTTGTTTTGTTTTGTTTTTTTTTTTCGGAATTAGGATTGTGGGGGAAGACTTCATTTCATTTTATTGGTTAATTCAGATTTACAATTTTATTTTGTTACACGTACGGCCCACAAATAGCTAAGGCTAGTCTAGGTGGGCAATGTCTGTAACAAAATGCGCACTCCAAATGATATTTAATTGACAAGTTAACACAAGTTATTTATATAAATGGTACAAAAGGTAAAGAGCAGAAGAAAAGTTACTTCTTTAAGGTATGTGTGCTGTCTTGACCCATGTTTCGTTCCAATTGTAAGTACTCTTGCGGAGCTCAGAACTACATGACCACGGTCTTCCACGCACACGTAGAGCAATGAGTGGGGCTGTAAGGCTCTACGTTGTAATGAGTATTTAAACAGTTTAATCATCAATCCTTGGATAAGAAATCGACGCTTGACTGGTAAAACAATTCAGAGCTCAATAAAAAATGAAAAGTATTACTAGAAGGGTGGGGTTAAGAAAAAAGCCTAATATCGTATCGTGTGGCATCGGAAATGTATTATCTTTAAGACATTTCCCCGTTTTTTGTTCTTTTAATTTCATTTATTTATTATTTGTGTTATTTATTTGTTTATAATTTTGAGCTGCGTCATCATTATTTATTCATTTATTTATTTAATTTTTTTGTTTTTCTTTCTTATTGTTGTTGTTTGTTTGTTTGCTTTTCGTTTTTATTTTACAAGAAGAAGTACATTGAGAACTGTGAGATTAATGTTGTTCTCTTCTCGGAGGTAATTTCAATATCCAAACTTTAACTCTGGTGAACAAATCGAGCCCCATATATCTGAGAACAAAAGAACTTCCTGAGCCGCATAAATAGCGTCATAGTCTTATTTCAATCATCTCTAACAGTTTTTATTTTCTCCATATTCAACAGACGTCTGCTTGTCCTCCAGCGGCATTAGTATTCGATGGCTCATCAGTGCTTAATGTCGATAATTGCGTTAGATTTATTGAGATGGACCGTAGACGACGAAGGCATGCACGGCACGTCAAGATACTCCTAAAGGCTTTGCGGAAGTTCTCTAACCTTAATGCATACACGAAAGGATTTACTGCCGAATTTGCCATCACGAGAACAAACTGAATGTCTCTGACCCAGTGAATAAATACACAATGGCAGCTAGCGCAAAAATTGATGATATAGATACAAATGCACGATGGTAAATAACAAGCTAAAAATAACAGCAATACAATAACAAGTGTCTTTGTGATCTTTTTCTCCCACTTGATCGCCCGTTTCTTCGCCAAGTTTTCCTCGGTAGTGTTATGGAGGTTGTCCCATTCATTTACTTGTACGCGGAGGAAGTTGAAAATTTTGGAGTTAGTAAAAAGTAGTACAAAAAATGTCACAGCGACGACGGTATTCGCGAAGATGAAACGAAACTTGTTGTAGCCTACTACAAAGTAGAAGACTGATAATGAAATGGAGATGATCCAAACAACAAGAGACACTAAGAATGTTCGGACTGGATTGAGCTTGCTTCTGTAAAACAGGGGGTACGTAATGGCCGCGTACCGATCTACCGCCAAGGCTGCCAGGCTCAGGAGTGAAGCGGTGCAGGAGATAAAAAAACCTTCATGCAGCGTATCTTCTAGGTACTGGTTCCGGTGACTGACTCCCTCCATAACATGGTAGGCTTCGCTCAGGGGAGCAACGATTAGTCCAACGACAAGATCCGCCAAGCTCAGATTGGCTACAAAGTAGTTGAAAGGCGATCGCAGGTCCTTGCAGGGGTTTAGGATAACAGCAAGAATCACAAGGAAGTTTCCAACAGTCGCGATGAATGCAATGAGTGCGGAGCAAGAGGCCGTTGAGAAAGATAAATATGTCGGCGCTGTGGTATTGTCACACGGATACTTTTCAAGAAGAGACATTTTCTTTTTCTCCCCAATAGTCAGCAGCCACGATGATTTAAAAAAACGTGCAGCAAAATTTCAGAATACGAAATTCTTCCGCCGGGGTCTTTAGTTTCGGTTTCTACACTTGAACCGTCAGACAAGCCGTGACCGATTCCTTAATTTATTTTTAGATCTGCCCCCGGAAAAACGACCCCTTAGAATAATGGTCACATCCACTGCATTCACGAAGCGCATCAGTAATCAAGGTTTGCGCATGCCTTGAAAGACGCATTTAGCACCATTTCGTGACTTTATCAGGCACCCTACCACTTATAATAAGAATTTTTTTTACTTTATGGCTACTTCAAAGTGAAAAACTGTTGAAACAAGGGTTAACATGCATGATTATTACGTCATAATGACGTTCAACTGTCAATCAAGCCATATTGTCAATCAAGTTAGATCCAGATGATTCCCAGAAATAACGACCACTGATCATGACTACATCCTCCTGAGTAATTTCGGTAGGCCGATGGGGGGCCTCCGAAGAACACCCCCTCCCCTCTTACCGCATGGCCCCCATTAAAGCAAAAAGAAAGAAAAACGAACAAACTTAACTCACTCACTCAACCTCCTCATCCCGCAAAACTAAATTTAACTAAACCTAAAATTTTACCAATGCCACTATGAGAAAAGTGCATTTTAAAAAGCTGTTAAACGACCGCAGATTTGATACTACCACCGGTGTTTGTATTCAACGACCCATCAGTAGTCAAAGTCGACACCTGTGTCAAGGACCGAAGTTTCAGGAATGCTTGGCAAGTCACTCTTAAACGCTTTGCGGCAATTCTCCAACCTCCAAGCATATACGAATGGATTCACTCCAGAATTTGTCATCATCACGACAAACTGAATGTCTTTTATCCACATAATAGACACACTATCGCAATTAGAGCAAAAGTTTATGATATAGATGCAGATGCAAGAATGCAAATAGTAAGCTAAGAAAAACAATAACATAATAACAAGGGTCTTTGTGACTTTTTTCTCCCTCTTGATCGCTTGCTTTTTTGCCAGGTTTTCTTCTGAGCTGTCATGGAGATTGTCCCATTGTTTAACTTGAGCGCGCAGGAACTTGAAAATTTTTAAGCTGGTAAAAAGCAAGACAACAAAGGTGACAACGAGGGCTGTGTTAGCAACGATGAACAAGAACTTATTGTAACCCACTGCAAAATAAATCATGGATAATAGAATGGAGACCATCCAGACACCAATGGCCACTAAGAGACTTCGTTTTGTGTTGGGTTGTGACCTGTAAAACAGAGGATATGTAATAGCGACGTACCGATCTAGCGCCAGGAAATGAAAAAAGACACGCATCGTTCCTCGAAGACTTTGATCAATGATGTCCAGTTCTTGAAAGAAATGATACACTGCACCAAGAGGAGCGGTAATGACTCAGATTGACTACAAGATAGTTGAAAGGTGATTGGAAGTCCTAGTTGGGATTCAAGAAAACAGCAAGAACGACAAAGGAGTTTCCAACGGTCGCGACGATTGAGATCAGTGTAGAACAAACAGCTGTCGAGAATGATAAATATATCGGCACTGTGGTATTGCCACAGGAATATTTGCCGAGGAAGGACATATTTTCAACTTCCTCAAGCGGCTTCGTGGCCCCGACCAGAAAAAACGAGGTTTCGGAAATACATACATGTCCAAGAATAAAGACAGCACCATTAGGATTGAACCCTCTGTACTATATAGCTTCCGGCTTAATGTATTAAATCTCTAGATGACCTCTGAGTCTATCGGCACATTATGCAATTAACTTAACGTAGTCAGAGGAGGTTTATGACTTCTCATTATTTATTTATTTATTTATTTATTTTAATTTCCTTTTTACCGTCAGAAAACCAAGGATTACGAAGTTAACCTTATGCATGCATTTTCAAATGACATAATTTTTCATAGCAACATCTCTCCCCCACCCCACATTTTGGCTTTTTCATTTTGCCTTTTTATCGTCAATCCTAGTGAAATATCGCAAAGTGAATCTTGGCGAGGCCTTTTGTTTATTTATATTCTTTCATTCTCCACATTCTTTATTTAATGGTTTAAACTCTTTTTTGGTACAGGGAAAACAGAAAATAGCTTTAGGGTATGACCTATATATGGTACGTTATGGTGAATTGATAGCATTAAAAAAGACTGCGAAGCACTGCAGATGATAAGTTTTTCGGCAGAGCATAGCTAAGGTTTCAGCATTGTGGCCTTCCTCAAGGCGAAAATTTAGTAGTGATATAATTAGTTATCAATAGTAGGGATAAATCTGGTTCAAATGCAGTACTCGATCTTATAAAAGGCAATCCGGATTTTGGAATGCTTGTGGAATCCGGAATCCTGGGCTTTGAAATCCAGAATCCGAGCTCCAAGCAATCCGAGATCCGGAAGCCATAGCGTGGACTTTGAAATCCAAAATCCAAGACTGTCTTGGATTACGTACCCTAGGTACCAGAGTTTATTCTCACGTGCGATAGGAATGCTTCGGTGCCGGCTACCTGAAGTAAGTATCAAATACAGCTATCACTAGCATATTTTGTTTTAATCTGTTTGTGTTTATTTTATGTGTTTTTCGTTTATTCTCTGCATTGCTAAATATGAGGGTCAAGACACTTCCGTGGTGGCCGTTATTATGCGACTCTCTGAAACATTCCTCATAAGTTGTCCTCTGCGGAACTCACACGAGAGAATTCCCTTGATGGCTAGCCGGTAATTTTGCATTCTACAGGGATACACAATTGGATTTATCCCTGAATTAGCCATCACAAGATAAAGTTGAACATCCCGAATCCAGTTGATAAACACACAATTGCATGTACTACACAAGTTTATAATGTAAATACACACACACGATGGAAGGAAGCAAGCCAGAAATACCACCAGCACGATCACAAGAGCTTTAGTCATCTTCTTCTCCCATTCCAAAGCTCTTTTCTTAGCAATATTCTCCTCGGTGCTGTCGTGTAGATCTTCCCATCTTCTAGCTTGCTCTTGAAATATTCTGAGGATTTTTGCATTGGTGGCAATAAGAACCGCAAACGTCACGATAATGGCAACGTTGGCAAAAACGAATCGATAAATATTCAACCCAAATTGGAAGTACATCAACGATAGCAATGCAGAGATGACCCAAGCGATGGCAGATATAAGAAACGCTTTCCAACGATCCAGCCTGACCATATAAAACAATGGATACGAGACAGATACATACCGATCAACTCCCAAAATGATCAAGCCGAAAAGAGATGCATTGCACACAGTGAAGTACGAGAAGAATAAATCCTCGTGGATCTCCGGTTTCAAACGGCTCTTGAGTCCTTCGGATACATGGTACATTACCGACATAGGGGCGATACCGATTCCAACCAGAAGGTCTGCAAATGCCAAGTTCGCAACGAAATAGTTGAATGGCGATCGGAGATTTTTGTAGGGATCCAAAAAGACGGCGAGTAGAACGAGTGAGTTTCCGACGATAGCGACAATACTAATTAGTGCGGAGATGGAGGCGGTTGTGAATGAGAGAACAGTCGGAACAGTGGCATTACTACATGGATATTCCCCAATGAGGGACATGTTCCCAAGGTTATGTCGTTCCACAAAACAGAATCGAGGTCACAGAGACCCACAGATTGTCTCTCTTTGTACAGCAAGAATTAAATATGTTCGCAATTATTGGGAACAAAAACACTGTCAGGATTTAAGTATTGATCTTTTGTCGTGTCCGCTGACCCTTGTCCAACCATGCTTCCCAGATGTAAATGCAGTCAGACTAGCTAAGACTGTGTCACGCAAAAGTCACGCAAATAATCCAAGTTCGTATGAAGGTCCATGGCACGCCAGTTCTATATTGTATTATTTTTTTTACCTGTTTATCTATTTATTTATTTATTTATTTATTTATATTTTTTTTATTTATTTTCTATATGACAAACTCGCCAACAACTATTATTCCACACATACTTTTTTTCTTTCACGTAAATCTTAGTCTATATTTCAAGTTATTCCCTGTAGTAGGTTTTAAAATGATCGTGTTCATGACCATGATGATGATGACCATGATGATGTTTATTTATCATATAATGATAATTGCAACCCTATCATTTTAATTCTTGAATTATCATTGTTTTTTCTAGTTACTTAGAGCAGTTTGATCTGATTGTTAGCTGTAGGAACCGACGTCAAGGTGGGGTACAAGTGTGTACGAGTTTTCAAAAGACAAACAAACAAGCAAAACCGAAACAACTATTTGCAGAAAAAAAGGAACGAGAATTTGTCATTTTTATAGTTCATACGTACATTTATTTCATTCCTTGTTATGACTAACAAAATAAGATAGAGTAAAGAAAGAACATGCATGATTTCAATATTTTCTTCCACTAATGGCCTAATCTGTCTGCTTTTGTTGACGGATCGTCACATAAAACCATTTATGGAATGTTAAATCGTGGCTTCTTCCTCCTGTAAGACAGTCAATGGCAAGTTCATTTTCCTGTAAATCACAAAAATGCAAAACACTTTTGTGGATTTTTTCCATTATCATCTAAGGTAGTTAACCAATGATCAGAAATGTAAAAATACCGAGCCGTCAAAGATATACCAGAGTGATAAACACCCGTATTAACTGAACGCATAAAAGACATTTCATAAACAGTAGAACCCCTTTGATATGTGATTCAACTGTACAACACTGTTGATTCGACAGTGGTAGAAAATTAAACAAACTTAATAACTTTTTTTCCCCTTCCCTTTTTTTTCCCTTCATGAAAAATCTGCTCTGAGTTAAAGAAAAAAGGTAACAATTGAACTCAAAGCGTTGCTGCAGACAAAGTCTTGAAATCTTTCTGAATAGCATTAACCCTTCAGCTCCCTTAATAGCCGAGCAAATCCGGTTATAAACTGTCATTGATATTCGCGATGGACCAAAAAAGGAGCTGTTGAGTACATTCAAATTTAAGCACAAACCCCTAAAAAGACAATAAAAGACTATTACCAATGATGAGAGACGTAACAGTAACTGGATCATATCCCTGATGTCTATTGAGCTCTTTCATACACACTCTAAAGATTTTGGTCGTGATGTACTGGGAAATGTAAAAAAAAAAACAAACAAACAAACAAAAGAAAACAAAGATTACACAATGCGTCGTCACATAAGAAGATGACCAATCATTATTAAATAATATTAATTTATTATTTTTATCAAAGTTTAAATGGACTTCCTGCAGTGTAAAATCATCGATAGTTCTTCTTAGGGGAATGGTGGAAACAACTGTATTCGACGACTAGACGTCTAGGGGACGTAATGCTAATAGAAGGTAACACCCATAAGATGAGCCCGATGGACACAAATTTTCGAACTTAACATCTTAAGGTGCAAGAAGCTTGTATTGTCAAATAAATTGTCACTAGGGCATTTCAGGGCTTCTTTCCTAGTATTAGACAGGTGGGCATGCAAATGAGGGAACCGGAGCGGAAAGACTAAATCATTTACTATGTCGCTCAGTATTTCCCACGCTTTCTCTTTAACCCTATTCGGACTGTTACCCGCCAACTTTTTTTTCTATTGAGCAATGACGTCATCATGACATCACTACTGTTGTTAAAGATTGTTTTGATAATCAAAATCTAAATCTAAATCTAAATATCGTTATGTCGGCAAAATCGTTTGGGACATCACGCCAACTCTAAAATCAAAATCAAGAAGTTGGCTAACACATTTTGTCAGACGCCATAATATTTTTAAATCGTAATATGGCGTTATATTAACATCAAATTACGTCATTGTGTCAACCAAATTTTAGCTAGATGTTGGAAATGATGGGTACATTTTTCGTTGTAATTTTGGTGGTGGGTTTAAAAAGTTATAGACGGAGGCCTCAGGAGCGCTAGCGGTTTTTTCATGCCCGAGAAATTTCTAGAAATCAAACGATACTTCTTTTTGATTTCATACTGCAACACGATTGGCGAATCGAACAATGCCTTCTCCATATTAGAGTTTTCTTTGGCGGGAAAACGAAGAGTCCATGTTTTGATCTTTTCAGCCATTACCGACACCATGTTTCAAGGTCATACGACAATCGCTCTAACCGGGTCAAGAAATCATAGGAATGCATATACCTCGACCCAGGCGGCTATACTGTTGTACTCAGGAATGAGTCTTCCTTCTTTCATATTGTGGCTTGCTGTAATCAGTACAGTAGGCACTTGATTATAAGTCTTGTTAAATGTGACCGCCTAAAGTAGAATTCAATACCAGAACACGGCTTAATTTCTAATGAATACAGTGCAAATCCATAACTTAAATGAGAAGAGATACATATAACTTTTTTTTCAGACTTCTATTTAGTTAAGAAGAGTAGCTACACATTTAAGCTTTTAGAAAGACTGCATATAAAATATTCAACGACATCATCCTAGTCAAACGTTGCCGTATAGCAAATAAAAGATCAAGCTATACCTGACAAAAAGCATTGTTGTTCGCTTTCAGTGGTCGATCTGTGTTACTAAAGTGTATGAGATGCTGCGTAGCTTCCATGCCATTTGGGAGTGTTTGATAAGCAATCCAGTTCTACAAAATTGCGAAAACACAAGGTAGCTTGCTTCATGTTTTGAAACATGAATTAGGAACTAGAGATCAAAAAACCGTATTCCCCCCCCCCCCTTTTCACTTGGTTCTATAATGACGCTCCCGCGGGTAATTTTGTTTAGCTTACACCTTGGTCTACTTTTGGTGGACACTCTCCTTTCCCAGAATGAGTTTAGTTTAAAGACTTTTAGTCATGCAACAAAAGGTTGAGCAGAGCCCTAGTCTAATTATGATGTCGATAATGATGATGACGATACAAATGGAAATGAACGAACAAAATGATCGCGACTGGGTGTAATGACACAGTTATTGATAGCCTCCTCAACAACAATAATGATGATGATGATAACGAGGATATTCCTCTAAATTCAAACCTTGAGATAGTCACTCAGTTTATCTGCACAACCCTCGCCCCCCCAACCCCCCCCCCCCCCCCCCCCCCCCCCCCCCCCCCCCCCCCCCTCCCACCACCAAAACAACACACAACCCCACGCTTCTCTTGCGTTTGAAATAGATTCACCCACTTTTATTTTCTATCACTCCCACCCAACCCCTCAAC